GTCTCTCTTGGTTATTTTACTGTTCGTAGTCTGTTACTGTTGTAGGTTTTCTTGTCCACTACTGTTGTTACTCTACTTCTTAGTTATTTCTTTTCCTCCACAACTGCTGTAATCCCTCTTCTTGTTTCTTTTCTAGTTCTTCTTGTTTCTTTGCTGTTCTTGTATCAAATCTGCTAAGCTGTAGTTTGATTTGCCACTTCACGTTTCCATTTTCTTTTTTTTTGTCCCACTCTCTGACACCAATTTGTTGTGTATCTGGTCGTTTCTTAATTTCCAGTATAAATTCTTCCCGAGGAACTTCAGCCATACAAGTCCTTTCTTAAATAAAACTAGTTTATCCTTTCTCAATACAACTTTGCAATACACAGAATTTCCACCGTCACTTTAACTTAAACGCACGCTATAATTCACAACGATTCACGCACTTTCCTTACTGTCACTACCCCTCGCTTGACTCAATTATCTGTCTATCGGCAATCATTTGCCGGGCTTATATACAAAAAAAGAGAGGTCGCCTAGAAAATACTAGAATTGTCAGGAAAAGTCAAAATCCTTCCAGAATATCATGACGTGTTACCAGAGTCACATGACTTCCACTGTGGTAACAATATGTTTGTTTTGACATTTTGCTTATAAAATGTTTATATATATGTTAGTAGTCACTGTTAAATCACCTGAAATATGATTGTTTAGCAGGAATAGTGATGCAAGTTAAATGTTTACTGATTCCATAACAGGCTCAGGAAAGTCATCAGCAAACTATTGCTAGTTTAACCCTTTCCAAACTGGGAGCTATTGATATCCCTCGAATCTTTCCTTATTGCAATGGAAATATTCTATCAAATTACACAAAACTTGGAAAACACTTAATAAATAAATTCATATAATTTACATTGTGAAATATTTTCAATTTTGTTGCCAGACATTTGTTTAAAAAAAACAAAATATTTTTTCTCATACTTTAAGTTATTTTTATTATTGATTAGAAAATTAAATTTTATATATCAAGTCAGTTTCAACTTTTCTGATATTCATTACCATATTTCTTTTGATACTTTATTTTGCTGCTTGCAGTAATTACCACATCTGGTCAAAAATGATGTCAGATCAGGCTAGATAAGTTTTTTGCTGACACTATGCTTGGTCAAAATCAATTTATATCCAAAAAATATCCATTGCTTTCAGTATTTTTAAGCCATATTATCTATGTGCCTTGTTTAAATATGATAATCTTAAAAAATATTCAATACTTAAGAATTTGACTCACATTTGAGTAAATCCACCATACTCTCTAAACCTAATAAGTCTTACTATAGAAGAAATTTCCCTCAAAGATAGTTTAACACAAAAACAATTTCATGGCTGAAAAGTATGTCCAAAAAAACTATTAAAAAGTCCTAGATCTGTGATTTGTTCTGAAGTTTTCTAAACCCCTCACTACATTCCATTGTTCTTCTTTGCATGAATTAGGTCTTTTCAATTTTCCATGAAACCTAAATTTCTTCTCACATCACTTGATTCACTCTCTCACAGTTATATGTTGTACACAATGATGATTAAACTTTTCATGTAGCTGTTTTTTAAAACTGAATTTCATTAGTATTTGTTCAATCACCTGAGTGGCTGTACTAATAAAATTTAGAGAAAGAGAAGGAAAATCACAAGACAAACAAAACCTTTACAATTAAACTCTCAAAGGATGATAGCTCTTAGTAACTTAACACTATGCTTCTGGATGGTCAGAGAAATTCTAAAAAAATGTACAGGTGCATTGTTTACGGATGAGACTCCATGGAACTGTGCATAAATGCAAGTTTGAACAATTTTTCATTTGTCTTTGTGAAATACATTAAATCTTATAAAACACCAAAAAACATCAATTCTAAAACTCGAGTGCTTTAGAATAGTTCACCAGACTCCTTTATCCTCCTGAAAAAGAACAGTGAACTATTCAAAAGCACTTGAGTTTCGAGTCTCGTTTGAAAACCATTACAACTTTTGTATGTGATCCTGCATGCTAACTTCTTAATCAGAATTTTAAAATATGTTATAGTAAACCATTGTTGAAATAGAATTAAAAATATCATTTTTACTTAAAGTTCAAAATTTGATTGCACTTGACACCTGGAAGAGTGCTCATCAGCCTGGAAATGGTTAAATTAGTGAGGCCTGGGTTGGTTCTGGCCACAAGCCCAGGCAGATTCAGCAGCTTGTGTCTAAACATGTGGTTGCCAGATCAGGTCACCCTGGCCAAAATGTAACTTAGTATATATGCTTGTAAAGATACATTAACATGATGTTGAGATGACAACCTAACATGAATTGTGGCACTGAAGACTCATTGCAAGTCACTTGAGAAACTTGTTGGATTGACATATCCACTGGTTCTAAGGAGACATTTCTTGAAACAAAATTGTATATGTAGTTTGTAAAAATGGTACGTAGTCTTTGAGACAGCCAATTAAGATCTTACCCCAGAAAGGATCAGTCAAGTTACCTTTAATCCTTTGTTGCTCAATGAGTTTCTGATCTATTGACTGAGTTGACAACGTATTTTCAACACTGAGTTTTTCTTTAAAACCATGTTGTTAAATTTCTCATACTGCCCAAATCCCTAATACTATGAAGGAAACCTTCAACCTCAATGAAGATGAACTTGCAGACCGTTGAAGCATGCAAAAAATACTGACTTTGGCAGCTTCACTGGTGACGCATGCTACCACTATAGAGAAGGAGCAAATGAAGGTATGGTCAACTGCCACACTCATAGCAACACAGCTACAGCTCTCAGTCCTTGTGCTGGCAGATCCAAATCCAGTCCATAGAGAATGTAACATAGCCATTCCTTCCCACTTTCCAAATTTTACTTAAGAAAGAAATTGGCAAGATAAAGAGAGATTTACATTTGTCCAGTAGATTAATGTTAATTTACCACTACAACCAGGAAATGTACAGACACATGTAAAAAATATTAAGGATTGCCAACAAGACATCACAATGCCACATCTTCAGCCTTCTGAGGCCTAACTCTTGCAATAAAACTCTTAAAACTGTCATACCATCAAGAACATCAGTCATTTAAGCAGTTTATTGCACCAGAAGCCTGGCATGGCATGGTGGTTAATGCACTTGCAATCTGCAGGTCATGGGTTCAAATCCCATCCCCAAACACTCTCAACTTTTCTGCCATGGGGGTGTAATAATGTGATGGCCAATCCCACTATTTACTTTATTACAAGTTATAGCTTTTACAATAAGGAAGATCATTTTTAGAACAGATACCATGTTTCAATCACTAGTGTGATCATTCTCAAGGACACAAGTTTTTTTGCATAAACTCAAAACTAAACTATTAATCCTGCTATTTGTTGGTAAAGATTTGCTCAAGAGTTGAGAATGGGTTGTGTCGAATAGCTGCCTTTCCCCTAGTTTATAACTTCAAAATTAGCCACAGCTAATGCAAATAACTCTTAACTAGTTTGGAACAAAATTCAATAAATAAACCAACTGCATCAATCTCCATGCCCAAGTCTGTAAGACATTTCTCACCATAAGCAGTATTGCCAAGAACAAATGCTCCAATATTTTGATGCATTGGCCATGGATAAGAAAGGATTGGTGTTGACGCAGAACTAGACTAAATCAACTACCACCTAGATGTTGCAACTAAAGAGAAATTGGTCAAGTTAAACAAAGGCTGAGAGATAGATGTATGTATAGAACAAGTGATTTGTTTCTTTTGTATTTCACACATACAAAGGGCTTAACACAAATTACTAAAATCAAGTCATGATCAGGGTAAGTATTCTGCTGGTACTCTATACTAGTTCTTCTTCTTTTTTTTAAGTCAGTACCACTTGGCACTTCAACATGAATAGCACATAAAGAAGTCCATGATAATCCACACAGTGGGAAGCTAGACCTTGGCAAAGGCCCTGTATTTTAATAAACATTTTGCTGCTGATAAACAGTCTACATATAATTAATAATTATCTTCTCAAAGATTTTTAATCATCCCTAAAAACCTCATACCACTTGCTTGCACAGTGTTCCACTGGCCACATTTGATTTCCTTTTTTTATTTGCCATCATTGATTATAGGAAGTTAATTTCATTAAAAAATGGTCATCTAACAAATCATTTTACATCCAGATTTTTTTCAAATTAAATATATATATATATGTTGTATCATCTTCACTTTGCCATTAGGAGCGATTTTCAATGAATTTAAAATTGTCAGATATCACTTACATATGAAGAGCATTCTCACTGAGTAATTAGTGATACTATAAAATACATATGCTTTTTTAAAAACATTCTCTAAATAGAAATTTTATTGTTGTTTTGCTCCAATAAGAATTCTTCTACTCAGGGGTGACTATTGCTATTCTTGCTTCCTCTTTCTACACAAATCTATAGAAGCAACTGCTCCTCTGGTTCCTGCAACACTATATTAAACATTAAAATATGACACACATTAAACACTATCTCCTCAGTTATACATAATAACCATTTTTAGCTTCATTTTACATCTACAAATGCTTGAAAGATGAATGGACAACCATTACACTGAGTAATTTAGAATAAATAGTTACAAAATATGTTATCAACAGCCAGACATCTTAGTCAGTCTTTGAACTAAAAACATATCAGATTGTTTTTGTCTTGATTACTGGATATTATGTTTCCAGTATTTAGGTCAACTGTTGATTATCATTGTCTTCTAGATATTTTTGTGACAAAGTTTTCAATCTGTATTGTTTAAGAGTTTACTAAAACTTTTGTTTCTAAAAAGCACTCAATCACCTAGCATCCATATGAAATCACAAATATTTTCAGTTATTTATCAATTTCACACAAAAAACAAAGGGAAAATAACAGTCACAATATCAACTTTATTCCACTCTTTTTTTCTTTTTTTTTGTACACACAGCGGGTTAGCTACAACAGTATTATGTTTCCTTCCAAAAGTACTGATGTAATGGGGTCATAAAAAAAAAAGTAAATGTGTTTCTGTAGGAAAGTAAAGCAGTCTATATACACGACAGCTTTACCATCAGCACACCAAGCTTTACTTTCTTTCAGAAATATTCCTCTTTAACTTTACACCAATTTTTATTTTAACTAGATGGTGTAAATGTAAGCAGGCTAGGTTTTATATTCTTTTATAAATAGTCTTCCTATAATTTACACCAGGTCTGTTACGTAGATGATGTCAGCATAATAGATTTAGCTTTCTTTATAAATAGTCCTTGGCATTTTGGATCAGTTATTGTTTTAACTGAATGATAAGACTAAATGGAAAAAATGGGGGTATTTCTCCCACAAAACTGGAGTTGATGTGACTTGAAGCTTATACACCGTACTGGTGTCAATAGCATTTCTTCTCCATCAATAAGTTCTTTATAATTTTTGCAATTAATGCAATGAGAAAGAAAAACAAGAAGTATCATCATAATTACATCAATTATATATATATATAAAAAAAAATTAACTGGAAATTATATTATACACATTATACTTCTCTCTCTTATATGGAGAACAAGTACGTGATTAATTCCACATCAAATCATCCATAACTGGCCTGATGATACCCTCTCAATTTCAATAATAATAATATTAGCAGTCCCAATGTTACTTTATACCTTATATGTACACATAAATGACACACACACACACACATATATATATATGTGTGTGTGTGTGTGTGTGTATGTATCTCTAGAGAAAGAGAGAAAGTAACAGATACCGAAGATAAAGTAAAGGTAAATGCACCAATTAAATTTTATTTACTTCTGGTTCTGCATGTAAAAAAAAACAATTTTTACAGGTTTAAACTTTTGGTATTTTTCTTTTATTACATCCTCAGAAAACATTATGGGAAATATCACATTATCCTCAAGTTGTGTATAACTCTTACTAATCAACAAAAAGGCTTATATTAAGTTATACATTTTTTTTATTCCATTACTTACCCTCTTCTTTAATTAGGTGAAAATGCTGATTAACATACACACACACACACACAAATATATGTACAGTACATTTTGTTTTATGTTGGTCAAAAACTTTTACTTAATACAGACATTTTTCTTAGCCCCAAGTACTTTATATCAGGTGGTGTACTTTACCTACAATAAAAAGACATTAAACACATCTTTATCATCTGTTATTTTCTAGCTATTCATTCTAATTGAAGCATATGCCAAAATACTAAATTACAGTACAAATAATGGATCTTTTGTTTACTTCCCAGCACTACCTCTGTCACCTAATCATCTAACATCAATTCTTGTAAACAATAAATGGTATAAGAATCTGTAAATGATTATAATCCAATCTCAAAAGCAAAGAGTAATTAAGGATGGCCTGTTAGAGGTTATTCTATGTTTTGTTCTAATATGTAGTGTCATGAAAACCATTCCTAAGTTTTAACACAATACTGCCACATTTTCTTCTTTAAAGATGAGGGTGAATTAATGATAAAAGATAATAGTAACTCAACTGAGTTGAAAGTTTGCTTAACAAGTAATGAACAAGGAGATAAAACCTGACTGAGCTCTTGGAACAACATCTTTTCTCTCTCTTTTATTTATAATGTGGGTGGTTAAAAAAATCAAGTTATCAAGTCCTTAAATAAATAAGGAGTTTACACCACACGGATGTCTTGCACCGATATTTTTATTGGAGCTAGCTTTTGACAACCTCAAGATGATGACCCACGAGACAAATTGAAAGTTAGCTCCAATTAAAAACTTGATGCATAGATATCAAAATGGTGTGAACCCATGTTTTAATGAAGTATTTTAATTCCATTAACCTGATTGAGTTTTTTTTTTACCACCTTCAAATCTTATTCATATATATTTTTTTCCTCTTATAACAAATTGGAATAATTTCAGTGGATCTCTTATATCCAAGCCCTGTGGTAATTATCCCACCTGTTCCTACACCTCTACTTAATTCATCATCATCAATAAGTACACATTGGGGTGCATGAACTATACCAATGCACCCCAGCTCACTATTACCTTCTTCAAACCAACCACGAATATTGTATGTACTGTACCACCCACCCTACATAAAAGAGTTTTAATACATTTTATATTCTTAAACTGCATATTTTTGCCAGAGAATTAAAACTTAAAACACTTAACAGTCCACATATGTCATGGATTTATTAGCTTTCCCATTTATATTTGACCCTCAATAATGTTTCATTTTTCATATCAACAATTTTCTGCATGAGACTCAAGAAATTTTTTTTGTCCATTTAAAGATATAGAAATTATATAAGACATGCATAAACTTTTCACAAAATCTGAAACCCAACAACTAGAGCACTTCTTTCTTCGAAGATGAATTGGGAACTTTGAAAAAGGAATGTCTACCTTTTGAAACCTTTTAGATTACAAAGTTTCTTATTTTGTAATTTCTTTAATTTTTTTATCTTATTCGATTTCTTAGTATAATGAATGCACAAGATTTTATAATTCATTCTTTACTTTTTGCCATTATATCATCACTGAAAACAGAACGTATAGATTACTTCAGTGGTAAGTCCCACTGAATCATTCTCATATATTAACATAAAGATTAACATGCAAGCTCTGTGAATGCATCAGAATTTTAAAATTATGTCTGAAACAAGAAATTACATAGAAAACCAACGTTTTAAAGATCTAACTAACAAAGTTTTTCATTTACTAGCCTGTTTGGAATAAACGTGTCAATTTGTGTGTAAATATGGTTGTATTATATCTACGTATTAACAATTTTACTGTGTTTGCAGAAACATATTAATAAGTAAGAAACAAACATGGTTCTCATAAGCATGACTTCACTTTAATGGCTGAAAATGACTTCCAACTAAGAGAGTTTAACATCAGATTATTTCTGTCAAAACAAAGTTTACCAAATATATGTGTAGGTATAATTCTTATGGTAGAATTATATTAACAAAGTTACTTTGTTTAAACTACTTAAACTATCAATGAAAAGTTTTAAACTGATTAATAAAGCTGAAAATTTTTTTTTTTATATAAGAACCTATTACTGAATGTTCTTTGTTGTTTTTTTTACAATAAAACCAGTTCCAGTAAGTTTGATCACTCTCTTCTACAGTTTAAACTAAAAATGTTCAACTGTCATTTCAGCAAAAGTTTAATACTTGGGCAACATTCACATAAAGATTAAATCAGTTCAGGAAACAATTTACATTACAACTTTGTATATCTTTATTTATTAATTTATCTTAAAAAAAGTACTTGAAATTAACAGCTTAATCAAAGAGGGCATCATCAGGCTTAGTGCTTTTCAGGGTTTCATTCACCCACAAACTCTTTTATCAGAAACACCTATGAACACAACACTGCAGTGAAGGTTAGCCCTTTTGAACGTGGCAAAACAGCAAATTCTTTCAAAACCGTTCCTTTCTGTTGCATTATGGGTCCCTCAGTAATTTAATATTTCTATAAACCTGTAAAAGGAAAAATATCAATATTTCTGGGTTTATAACAAAAGACGATTTTCTATAGAACTTATCTTACGATGCTTAGAACCCTCTAAAGAATGATAAACAAGATTTAAAACTTTGTTTAAGCACTGGTCTGTGTAAACGTAATTTTAGATGTCTGCTATTAACTAGTAATTGGATACTACATTAACAAACATCTGAGACCCTTCAAGTACACCGTTTTTTATATATACCGGAAAAATAAAATGTAAAATTTGATGTACATATACTCTAGAATATATATCTAGATACAATAAGAGGATTATCATGTAGAGTTTTAACAAGACATTACACAGTTTAAATAAACTGATGCTATAAAACTCTAGAACCAAGTAAATTACTATCACTGAATCACATGTCATTGTAATCCATGTTGGTACTGTTTTCTCAAACATGTCGGAAACTACTTAAGTGTTTCAAACATTAAAAACCAGTCATAACTCAATTTCTTTGAAATCTTCAGACTATATGGAACAATGTGTAGGTTTACTGTTGAATTAAGACAACTGTATGGATTAAAACTTGTCACGCTTTACACCAAAAAAGTTCTTTGAACATTCATACAGACTCTAGGAAGTATAGATTCACCAATGGTTTTCACGTAGACTGCCCTGATCGATAGTATAAGTACGTGTAGCCATGAAAGGGGTCTTAATAATCACTGTTCTAATAAGATGAATAATTCCTGTTATCTTGCAACACATTTCAACAGTTGTGTAGTGCAATTTCTTTTTATTGTTATTCATACAGCTCTGTCAGTTGATAACACCTTTCATATAAATTATTCCACATTTTCTCAAAAATGTTTTATAGGGTTAAAGTCTATGCTCTAGACAGGCTGATATTGTTACTTTGAAACCATGCATGCATCATTTGCACTTTATGACTTGGCATTTTCCTGTAAGTACAACACATTGACTTGCCTAACAGAAATCGGCCTATGGAAAATGTTTATATAACATCACATTATTATTATTTTATAGGTAGTTAGATGGTCAAACATTTTACAGATAGGTTCTGTGCCCCATTACACAGAATATTTGTATGCCTAGTTATGACAAAACTGACTCTGAAGTGATGACCACAGGGAAGGCAACTTGCCAGCAGCACTGACTCTTAGGCTACTCTTTACTAATGAATAGTGGGATTGACCACTATATCATAACACACACACACACACACACACACCTCCCCTACCCCCACCACAATAGCTGAAAAGACAAGCCTGTTTGGTGTTGGGGGTTTTGATACTATGAGCTGAACGTCATAACCACCATGCTATACATGCAGAACACAGATGACATGATAATACCACTGAAATCCTTAACAGTTACATAACACAATCAAGATCCAACAGCTACCCCATTTCTAGCCTCACACTCGAACTAAGGTGAAGTGGTTTGCATTTCTTTACAAAACTGTGGACCCACTGTTAAGATTCAAGTTTTAACAAACTTTACACCAAATAAAATAGTGATCTTTCTTTGGGGGTAATGAACTGCTTGTGTACTTGAAAACACCCACTTTCATATAGAGTGCACTGTACTGACTTCATACATTGTTTTACCATACACGGCCATGTTGGAAGTCATTCTTGATAGAAATTTTGACAATTGTGAATGTTATTTACATACATTATATTAAATTTTCAATGCCATTAAACGGTCTAACATGCTAATAGTTTGCTTATGATCAAGCAATGCAACTATTTCACTTAGCAATTTTCCAAATTACTAACACCTTATAATCTCCCTTCCCTCAAATTCACTTACTTTATAATGCTTTGTAGTCTTGCAAACAATTTCACTCTGTTAATCTAACTATTATGTGTATGTTTATACTTATACTCACTAAATTCCCTGGAAAAGCAGGATGAATAGGCCATGCCATATATTCAGTGGCATCCAAATATTTTGGGCAAGGTAGTGTACAGTTCTACAGTCTAAAGCCCCATAAACATGATAAGCATAACAAAAATTGTACAGATCAATAAAAATAAAATGGTTTTGTACAGTTTTTTTCTGTTGGAAGTTTGTTTGCTTTAGACCAAAGCCACCTTAGGCTATCTGCTGTGTCCACACGGCAGGGAAATGAACCTCGGATTTTGGCTTTGTAAATCCGTAGACTTACCGCTGTCCCACTGGGAGACGTTCCGTTAGAAGAGTTAAGTATTTCTAAAACCAGAGTAGTACTTCACATGAGTTGGAAAAGAGGATTTATTAGTGTTAGTTCTTAACTAATATTGACTTTTAAAAAGTACTTTTACAAGAATTTTCTCTCTCAAGATTTTTCATCACTACTTGACAACCATTTATGAATGCCACAAGACAAAATATGTTTGTTCCCTGAACTTGAAAGGAGAGGGTGTGAGATAACCAAGAATGCTGTTGGATAATTTTGGTAAATAGGGTGGATTTTGGCTGAAGATGTATGCATTTCATAGTATTGTAACTCTAAGTGTGAATTAAAATACAATATTCAACTACACATGACATGACACTCAAAAGAATACAATATAAATAAAGATATTTTTGTATATAAAAATGAACTCACCTGCACATACTAGGAATCAGACATAAATAAATTTTGACTTTTTAAATCTTCAAGTTCTTTTATCTGCTGTCTGAGGAAAAGTATTCTGGAAAATAAATAACATTACATTCCCCCATTTTCTCTTTATATATGTTAATTAAATATAAGTTTATAGAATTATTGTACAGCTTCTACAGTTAAATTTACACACCTAACAACAAATGTTATTTATTTCAATTTTTTAAAAGTATGAATAATAACCATAAATGAGACAAATTACTCATTCAATACAAAGCAACATCAAGGGGTTGCATATTTGTATTAAATTGCCCATGTAGTTTTCATTAAACTCTTTACATTGTTTAAACTAAGGTATCTCCAATATCATACTAATACTTATCAACTGTCTTATTTATAAAACTCACAACATTCTACAGAAGGTTGAGTATGTTAAATTACAAATCAGCAAGTCACATGGCAATCATATCCAATTTAAAGTTACAGCAGAATATTGTGTATCACAACTAAATTCTGATATTGTCTGGCATTTCATAGGTAATGCACTGCTACTAACAACTGATCATTTTTGGGAAGAGTATGCAACAGCCCTTCCATACACAAAATATTCATAACCTTATATCACAAAGATGTGTTCAGATTGGGGATTTAGAATTCCTAAGACAAGGATTTTCCTAGGACATAAGGTCAATGGAAAATAAAGGGACATGGAAAAACCACTGTCCTTGTAGCATTAGATGGCTTATGGAAACCCTGCAAGGAGGAAGGATGCACTTTGGACATGACTACCTTACAATGGAACCTTCTGTAATGAAAATTATGCTGCAAAGCTATTGTCAACATGCATGGACATCAAACAGAGCACATATGGATGTGGAAACATGGACTATAACAGTGCGGTGAAGCTCCAAATTCATTTTAATATAATGTACTCAACCTGCATATATGTTTTATTTTCATTTTATCAATTTCTTTTGGTGTCAAATGAAAAAAATAAAAGTCAAAGGATAGATAAGGCACAATACTTAGAGGCTGTGACTCATAACATATGATCTTTATGAGCATTTTTACACAACTGCAAGTGATACTGCCACTAAACATGTTTTAATAATGTAAAATACAAAATGCTTATAAAACTAGCATCTGATAAGACTATATATATATATTTATAATATAGTTACAAAACATGTATCAATTTTAATACTGTATCAAAAATAAAACTGCTCATAAAACATCAAATATTGTACACAGTTTCATAAACTAGCGGCTACCTCGCGTAAAAAATTCTATGAGTAATTCTTATCACAGACCACCCCTAATCAGAGAGAAATATCCCTTTAAAGAGCAGCTGTTTATAGGGAAACTATTTTCTTGTTTGTTGTCTGATGTCTCTTTCCTAAAGCTACATAGTTAATAACTCTTGACAACTCAGTTACACAAGTGTAATGACTAAATGAAACATGTTAATTTTACAGTAACTACAAGAAAGCAAGGTTAATTACTGAAGTTTAATCTGATAGTTTTGAAAAGATTTGCTGGTTTTGAGGGATTTCTCACAGTTATCTGTGCAACATATTATTAAAGTAATAGACTAGACGGAAGGCAGGTAGTCAATCACCCACCACCAGCTCCTGGGCTACTCTTGTCATTGGGATTTGACTGTTAGACTTACAATACACCCATGACATCAAAATGCAGAACACACTTTTTCTTCTTTTTTGTTTGTAATTAAGCACAAAGCTACACAATGGGCTATCTGTGCTCTGCCCACCATGGTTATCGAAAACCAGTTTCTAACAGTGTAAGTCTGCAGACATACTGCTGTGCCACTGGGAGGCTCTTTTTTGGTAGTAATATAATGATGTGACTCATGGAACTGCAGCTCCACAGTCTGGTACTCTTAAAGAGAACTGTTTATATCAGCAGTTTTAAGAAATTATTCTTTTTTGTTATAAAGTATATGATCCCTTCTTTAAAACACCTTAGCTAAGCAAACTTCTTAAGCCTAGGCTTCAGATGTCAGTTTGTTTGTACAGTACATAAATCAATATCAGCTTTTTTTAAGTTTCTATTTTGCTTTTACAAAGTTCAACCTTATTAGTATTAGCACAGGTGCACTGTTCAGTGTATTTAAGTTTGTTTAGGTGATATTCTTCTTGCCATTTTGAAGATCTGGTAAATCAGTGGAAAATTAGATTTGTACAGAAGTGAATGTACAGTTAAGAGACTACTAACTTATCCATAAGTTAAACATGTAACAGATTTATGATGACACATGAAAACAACAGGGACATTTACATCTATGTATTTATATCTTTTCCTAAATCTCACTATTATAGTTCATAGTAACTTTTTTTTACACTAACATTGATAGAATGGGTACAATATATCATCATAACGTGGAAACTCTGAAGCATTAACAAAATTAAGGAGGTAAGGTTAAACATTTTGTGGAATATGTATTGTTTGCCATTCTTCAAACAGTAATTGATTTTAAATGGTCAACAAAAATTCCAACTGTTATTAATAAATATATTTGCTGTTGCTTACCTTTGTTCTTGAAGAGTAGCTTGGATTTCTCCTAATCTAACCAAAGACCTTGCCATTTTTAGATCTGCTGAAACTTGGGTGCAATTGAGACTGCCTATCATATGTGCTTCTTCACTGTAGCGGTTGGCCTAAGTTTGTTATATAAATTTTCCTTTTAACATACATCCTTCTGTAAACTTTCCATTTTATAATCCTAACCAACTAGATTTTTTCAGTCAATTTAACTAAAACATAAATAAAAAATAGGGCTACTTTGTATAGTTCATTAGTTCATTCTCTAGACACTTCGCATATTTATTTCTTGAGAGATTTTCAAATGGTATTTAAGTTACTATCTAATTTTTCTTATTTTCCACTGATGCAGTTTGAAGCTTTCAACAACAGTAGTTTAGGACACATAAAAGCTAGCTGAAATTCTGTTTAAAGCATGCTTACTGTTGAGAGTTTATGTTAAAATCTTAACAATACACTAAGATACCTTTATCACACTATGTGATCAAAAAAAGCTTTTAGAGAAGGAAGGAAAAAAGAGAAAAAAGAGAAAAATGAGTTTACTTGGAAATGAGATTGATGCAATAAAAAAAACTTTCTGATAAATATATTACATAGCTCTCATTGTAATAATTAGAATATCAACATACAAACATGCATTTTGAATTGACTTTTCCTGGACTAAGGATTCTGGATGTCACTGATAACCCTTGATTTTATTTCTTTTCACCAAATTACATGAAACTTGACAAAATCTTACTAAATAATCTATAGTTTCAGCTTTAAAAAACTTAACATAAGTTAATTTAGTTTTTCTATCATTTTGTTGTAAGTGACTTAGAACCTGACCTTTCAGAATGGTGCCAGGTCAGGCTAAGTAACAATACTCTTGATGAAATATTTATATCTAATAAATATAGTTTGTTTTCAATAAATTAGAAGGTCTTTTATTTTATTTATTTGTTAATATAATAAATTTAACATTAATGTTCAATATATAAGGATTTGAGTCACAGGAATATTTTGCCATTGCTACCACACTCTTCTAAACTTAACTAACTTTTCACAAAAGTAAACTGCCATAACTTTCAAGCAAATATAATTTAACATGAAACTAAAAAAATTTCCAGGTGTTTGGTTTGTTTCCAAGTCTTCTAAACTTCACATGAAATTCCACTGTTCTTCTCTGAAGGAATTACATCTAATTACTTTCTCATGAAACCACAAATTACTTCTCATACTACTTTATTAACTTCACAAACAGTTTATAATCTGCTGTATCCAAATATATTTAAACTTTGCTTGTAGCTATTCTCAAAGCCATTCTTTATTAATAGTTCTTGCCACTCTTTTATGATCTTATAAAATGTGATGTGATTAGAGGCCTGTAATAATAAATTTTCAGACTGATAAGGGAAACCACATGAAAAACAAGACCTAGTTAATTGTATTCTTTAAGGATTACAGCTTCTTAGCAAATAAAACCTATGCTTTGGGATGGGCAGAAAAATTATTCATTGTTTAAAGGTGAGACACCACAGAGCTGGGCAGAAATGCAAGACTGAACATGTTTTACATTTTTTTTGAAAATTACACTAAATAAATGTTATAAAATGACAAAATATCAAATCTAAGATACTTTTTGAGTCAAAAAGTTTTGAAATAGATTGGAATTATTATTTATACTTAAAATTTGAAATTTTGTTCGCAGGTGTGCACTTGACAAATGAAAGGGGCTCACTGGTTATAACAGGGTTAATCACTGTAAAAAGTATTCTCTCTCTCTCTCTCTCCAAGAGATCTCTACAAAAATGGTTTTATCAATGCAGCAACAGTAGTATAATATGTATCTTGTACTTGCCTAGTTAGAAAAACTTAAGAGAATAATATGTATAATCACATTTCAGTGGTTTCTTTACCTGTCTTTCTGCATGATCAGCCTGCCAACCAGTGACATGAGATATTAGATTCTCACAAAAATAATTAGCCAAGGAAGGAGTCAGACTGGGCACAGATGGTTTCAGTGCTGCAGATGCTAAGGAAATGGCTCCTGTGCCACTGAGACTCTGCAAACTACTCACACTAGAGGTTGGACTACCTCGTCTGGAAAACAATAACAGAAAATAACTATACTGGGGGGGGTATCACAGAAATTTGATAGTTCATCGCAATAATCTTCACACTTTTTTATCTTATTTTCAGTTCTAAAAAAATATACCATTATTTTCTGCAAATTGTAATAAGTGCCATTTAATGAGTTTCTTTAGTACAGAATTATTGGCAATTTTCACAGGCAGAAGTCATACTTGTCTCATGCTTTATTTTATGAGAATTACCTTTAGCACTCTCTACATTACTCTGAATCACATTTTCTTCTATATAAGCTCACTCAAACCTTAATCATTTGTCAGCTCCCTACAAAATCATATAAAGCACATGATCTGACACGTAAATCCAGTTCATTTTATAACATCTTCAAATTGGTTAAAGAATAAATACTACAGCAGCTAGCACCTGTGAAATGCTACAAAGACTTAAATTATGACAAATAAAAAAAAATCTCTTCTTTATCTTACTTTAAAATAAAATGAAAGTTATTTTGATAAGATGCTGCAACAAGGAACATTTGTACCTTGATGAATGAGAACTATAGTCTGATCCAGGTGAGATCCTGCCCTTGTCTGGATCACCTTTTTCATCAGCTGCAGGATGGGGAAACTGAAGACTTGTCTGAATGTGGGAATCTGAAGACTGTCCTGAGCTGGATGGGTTAGAATTCTGACTAGTCTGTTGTAACTGACTGGTCGGTGGTAGCAGAGAGAAGCCTTTTTGACAAAAAGAGTCACATTGAGTAACTGAAACTGACCTGTGTGGTGATCGGCTTAAATTGCATGCTGTGGAGAAAATGACGAAAGCATAAAATTAGATATCTTTTAGCTTCTGCTAGTATTTTCTAGAATAATTAAGACTGTCTAGACCTTTAAACTTTCAACAACAGAGGTGTCTGGGTGCTTCAATTTAACATATCCAGTGTTTTTAAGATCACAAACTAAGACTACTGAATCAAATTGCATGAACTTTGTAACAAGCTTTCAAAATTACATCAAGTGTCTGTGAAAAAACAACATCAATTGATTTAGTATTTGTGTCATATTTTAGCTTATAAAATTTATGGAAGTTTGTCATGAAGTACTGTTTTTTATAAAATAATAGGATTAGTTCCTTTTATTCTTAGATTTCTTATTTTTATTTTGTTACCCTAAAAGCTTGTATAGGTATCCAATAGTGTTTTGAAGAAAACTATACACTTTTGGTCTATTTTTACCCAACTAGCACTATAAGTAATTTACTTACAATCAATGAAGCACAGAATGAAAAAAACTGTTGAAAACACGAAAGAAATAATTAAAACTGAATTTTTTTTTATATATACTTGACCAGAAAGTTCCACTTCATACATTCAATAATTAACTTGCTTTACATAAATTAACATATCTATTCTTGCTATTTTCCTTCAGTATGCTTTTAGCCCACTGAAGCAATCACATAACCCACTGAAAAATATATAAACCGAGTAAGATCAACAACAGTTTACTATCACATACTACTGTACAACCCTTTAGATCAGCATACTTACTAACCCTAAATATCCTTACCTGAATTTTTATTACAAAAAAAATATTTTTGAAGCTACCAGACCTAAAATAGCACAAATCCAGCCAGCATCAGCAATAAGAAAAACATCACCATATAAAAACAAATCCTGGGCATTCAACTAGCTGGGAAACATTACAAAACCTCCAAGTGTAGCAATTACTGAATTACTCTGTTCAACTTTCAAGTGTAGCGTTCACTGGACAACTCCTTTAAAACTCATAAAAGGAGAAGAATGTCATAAGGAATTATTAGTAAGTTGTTAAGATGATTTTGTAGCTATAGCTTTATAATGGTTTTCAGCAATAGGACATATCTATTTTCATGGCTGAGGTACATGCCTGTTTGTAAAGAACCTAGCAGGAGGTACTAAACTACTTCTAGAAGAGTAAAATTAAAGCTTGTTTTAAAATAATTCAACATATTGGTACACACAAGAGTAAGCTCAAGCAGCCATTCATAAAAAAAAAAAAAAGACAGAGAAAAAATGGACTCGTATTGTATAACACCACTGGTGAAAAAATAAAACGTAATCATATTCAAGGCCACTGTCACCCCTGGTAGCTCTACATAATATTACCATGCAATAAACCTTTGTAACCTCAATGACAACGAACCAGTTTGTTGAATATATCTTGATATTCTCCTGTGTATATTTAACTTAAGAGCCAAGTCTTTCTGGACAAATACACAGAATACCTCTCAATAAGTTATGTGTCACAACTGAAGACAGAATATGATGTACAACACCAGAATGGAAATCCTAGAATCTAACCTGATATTAAAACTTGTAACCCTTAGTTGTGTATTTTTATATTTGTGCCAATATCTAAAAATATCTTTTTTTTTTAATGTTCTACAATGTGAGAAGGTGAATGACATTTTCTGTCACTTTTTCTTGCAAAGCCATTCATTCAACTAACAAAGCACTCATATAATGTAAAGTAAAACAAATTAAGCTGAAAACTGAACAGGATCAGAAAATTTTAAAAATCCATATTAAATGCCAATAAGTACGAGATACATACCTTAAAAGGAATATATTTTATGTAGGTTGTTTGCTCTCTCTGAAAATAATCCTTGATCAAGTCTCATTATAGTAATTGTAATTTTTTTTGCAATAAATTTTAAAAGTGCATCAAATTATATGGTCTCAACCACCTATGAGGGTACCTTATAACAGAGATGGGGTGAGCAAGAATGCCCAGCACAGTTTTGTCTGGTATAAAACCATCAGCACGAGAAATGTAATAGCTAGTTGTGGAGTGAAAAATGCTGATTCACTGACTTTGGAAGCTAAAGTCAAAAACTGTCTTAGAGACACGCAGAAAAAAGAAGGTAAAGTTTCAGTTGGATGTTGTGTGGACTGCATTTCGTACATTGGGCATGGGATCTATCTGTGAAGCATCAAGCACCTACACATGTAAATTCCAATTTATGTTAATAAATCCATATCAAATATGAGTTTTTTTGTCAGCAGGCTAATGTGATATTTGAAGATAATGTTTCCTAGCACATACAAAGTGTCTTAGAACTGCCCTACCAAGAACCTAGATCGTCATCTTAGGGAACATCTTTTGGATCACTAGAATCAAATGTTATTATAAATGATGATGAAAAATTATGTAACTTAACAATGCTATGCATAACTAGAGCTCAGTCATTAGTGGTACTTGCCAAATGATTAATCAACAGTCTCATTAATCAATTAATACAGTGTTCCTCAAACCATGATGCATAAAAGCATAAAAAAAAGTTAGTAGCAAGTCAGCAGATCAAATGAAAAGAACAGAAAAAACAAAACAGTTGTCAGTAGGTTTCTACTAACCAGATGTTTTCTCTCTAGTCAGCAGTCCAAGAAGAAAAAAAAGTTAGTGACAGGTGCTGCCAACTAGTTGTCTTCCCTCTAGTCAGCAGATCAAATGGAAATAACAGAAAAAACAAAAAAATTGTCAGTAGGTGCTACTAACCAGATGCTTTCTCTCTAGTAAGCAGTCCAAGAAAAAAAAAAGTTGGTGGCAGGTGCTGCCAACCAGCTGCTTTCCCCATATTCAACAGTTGAAAATTAGTGACAGAGACAGAAAGTCTTAATAGCTTTGCTATAACAAAAACAAGGAGAGTAAGTTTGGTGGTAAAGGGAATCAAACACAAGACCCTCAATTAACGAGCACTCCCCCAATCATCAAAGCTGAACAAACTTGAAGTAAAAAAAAATTATAGGGCTCAAATTGGGTACCGCAAAGATTGCCCATTATGTAGTTTTGTGCATAACAACATATACACATAAGAATAATATTAATCAATTAATCAACTGTTGGAATAATTGAAAATAGTAATAATAAAAAAACTAATTCTGATTAGCTGATTTAATCATAATTTTAATTCATCAATTACTTTACGTAACACTAATTAATGTACTCACTGCTCATAGGTAATCGATTATATTGATTTAATTACAAAGCTCCATGTGTAATATCCACTTATTTCATCTATGAGGGTTATTGGTTTGGTTTGTTTTGAATTTCACGCAAAGGTATACGAAGGTTATCTGCACTAGCCATCACCTAATTTAGCAGTGAAAGACTAGAAGAAAGGCAGCTAGTTATCACCACCCACTGCCAACTCTTGGGCTACTATTTTACTAATGAATAGTGGGATTAACCATCACATTATAATTCTGCCATGGCTGAAAGAGCGAGCATGTTTGGTGGGATGGGGATTTGAACTCATGACCCTCAGACTGCGAGTCAAGCACCCTAACCATCTGGCCATGCTGGGCATAAGAGTTATTACTATAAAAAAAAAAAGCATGTCTAAGAATGGGTTTACCTTCTTTGCTAATATTATATGACATCTAGATAGATAACTTTGAAAGGAAACATTTCAGAAATCACCAATCAAACTAGATTTCTGGACAAAGTATGTGAATGTTATTTTCCCTCTTTTTTCCAAAAAAAACTTGAAGATTCAAATTTACCTTTCATCTCATATTTAAACAGTATATATCCAAATATTCAATTCATTTATGAATTATAAAATAATGACCTGTTGCCATTTCTTGATGTGTTATACTGAAATCTACAAAAAGGTTATCTTGGTAAGTTTGCTTCTACATATCACCATTTCTCTCAGAAAACAGGCAATTTTAAAAGTATGATTTGCAGATTGTTCAATATCTGTTCAGATGAAGAAGGCATTGCTACAAACTGAATTTCTTTAAAAATATTATACTGAGAATTAGGTATGATATTAGCACGAATAAGGTCAATGTAGCTTTGAAACTATAAAACAAGTAACAAACATTGCTTATAGAGAGATAAATATACATGATACGAAAAAAGGAATTTATCAAAGTGAATGTGGCAAAATATACACTGGACAAACATTGTAAATAATAATAAAAGAACATAAAATCATGGAGAATCATACCATCAATTATAGCTTATCATGTAATGGAAAACTATCACATCATATATTACACTAAAATCATTTCACAACCTAACAACTATGAACAGAGAAATATATTTGGATTGATAGAAACATTACAAGAGAAAGATGAGTTTATAAGTCTAGATTAAAGAAACAAAGTTACATCACCCATGGAAACGTTTTCCATCAATGGTTTAACTTTAACATCATAAAAATAAATTTAAAAAACATTTCTTTATAACTGCTGATATAATACCCTTATTAAATAGTTCCAGATGGTGCTGTCGTATCCTTTTATGAATCTTATAAATACACCATTACACTAAACAAATACCTCTGAAAAATGTGAACGTGGCAAGCTGAAAAATGTTGGGTCCCTTGTATTAAAAATAATCATTTAATACATGCTTTATAACATAATTTACTTGCCTTAGTTTGACCATCAGCCTTTAGTAATGACTGTATTTACTTATACATAGGGTGTGGGAACAAGCAATGGGTACTGCATTTAGATATTAAAAATATAAGCAAGTCATCCATTTGGCTGCTAATTTTAGAAACCTAGCAGAAAATTAATAAATTTCCTAATAGAAAAATTAACTGAATAACTAAAACTGGCCCATATAATGGTGAACTTAGGCTTTGTATGCTGTGTATTTGTTTATTGACTGTTTACCTTTCTAATACAAATTAAAACATTAAGTAACTAATAAAGCCAACACATATCACCATTATCTGAACAAGCTGCAAGATAATGACAATGAAATACAGTTGATGTTGACACATAGTGGTTAACTTAAACCATATCTTGGATAGGAAATAAGTTTGTTTAATGATAAGTAGCCATTCTAACCAAAACAGTAACTCTGAACAACTGAAGCTGTCCCACGAGTGACCAGCTTTAGCTTTACAGGGTAAAAGAAAACAAGTTTAATTTTAAACAATCTTTCTAACAAAAACAGCTTTGAGTAACTAAGGCTTGTCCATAAATGACCAGCCAGAGTAAAGAGGATAAGTTTGTTTAATATTAATAATATTGATGACAGAGAAAGTAACCTCAGGTAGCTGAGACTGAATGGTATGGTGATCTGCTTTAGCTGACTATGGTATTGAGTATTAATGACTCTCATGATGCTATGAAATAATGTAAACTTAAAAGCACTTCTATGATGCTAATTTGAGTGGCTAAAAGATATCTGTGATGTCATTGACTATCACCAACTTTCACACATTACATCTTCTACTCATTCTAAATTCACCCCTGAAGAGGGAAAAAATTTCCCAAAGTGTTCAGGTTATTAGGTTCCTTTTTAATAACCATGTAACACAAAGATCTGAATTGGTGAGTTGAAACAATCTTATATGGTAACTTACTTAATGAATTTACAGTATAAAATAAAAAATCAACCTGAACCAATTAAGAAATTAAGGTTATTAGGTTCCTTTTTAATAACCATGTAACACAAAGATCTGAATTGGTGAGTTGAAACAATCTTATATGGTAACTTACTTAATGAATTTACAGTATAAAATAAAAAATCAACCTGAACCAATTAAGAAATTAACGTGTCATTTTCAAATACTCTGTTCAATGAAATATAAAAAAAGATTAAACTATAGCACAGCATGAAGTTAACTCGTCGTTTAAAATACTTTGTTCCGCGAAGTATAAAAAAAATTAGACTATTTTGAACTCGGAAATTAAGATGTCATTTTAAATACTTTCTTCCATGAAATATAAAACATTAAACTGTTGTAAACTAAGAAGTTAACTTGACATTTAAAATACTCTGTTCCATGAAATAAAAATTAAACTAGTGTTTACAAAAAGTTGCGATATACATTCTTCAAGTATTTTAGTTTTTCTTTTAAAAACTAGTTATTACAAGTAACAAATAAAAGAAAAGAAACGCATCAATCAAGATTAAGTAAACTTTTTGTTTTACAATATTCACTTACCTGTATGTGCTAAACTTGTCACTTGTTTTGTCAACTGTAGTGCTTGCTGAATGGTCCGTAAAGCTGAAAAGAATGATTAAAACATTATTATGACCATTTCTCTTGATTGATCCACCTTGAGCTAATGTTTTATTCCCTACCTATCTAGTCTAACAGAAGGATTTATCATTTAGTTAGATATTTACAAAAAAATCAAAAATAAAAGTATGTGAAAAGGTTCATTTACATAAAAAAAGCACTTCTAACAACGAAGATGCCATAATTATACATATCATCCACCAACCTGACCTAATGTAAGTAGGAATTCCAGAAATCACTGGGCTGAATAGTATTAATGATGAAATTCCATATTTTTGTTCTCAATTGCATTTCTATTACATGAAAAGTGAAAAATACACGGAGTATAAATTCAAAATACCCTAACAATAAAACTTTATTTTAATGAAATTTGTAAAACCCCAGGTATCAGATTTAGTTCATTACTACTATTAAGATAAAAAAAATTAATAAATCAGTGAGGATAATAATAAATACTAACTCTTAATGTCTTAAAACAAAACAGGAAATTTTGTGGAAATCAAATCAATTAAAAAAGAAAATTTTAATTTTTGTGAAAAACAAAAAAACAGAACTATGAATCATATTTGCTGGGCCAGTGCAAGCACTAGGCAATTGCCTAGAATGGCAAAATAGGTGTACAAACTATGAAACAACACAAATTTTGTGGGCAAAAAAATACTGTCTGGGTAGTAAAAATACAACTGTCCAGGCAGAGAGTTGCCAAGCATCATAATTTTAATTTTGGATTTTACAACTACCGCTAAGTTTGTTAAGGTATTTTAACGAACGTATCTGAATATTACTATTTCATTAACAATTCTACTCAAGGCATGAAAAATAAAGTCTTGATTCTCAGTTTTGTCCTATGACCCGTACAGGTGGGTACAGCTTGAAGGTTTGCCTAGGGCACCAAATATCCTTTCACTGGCTCTGCACATTTGCTATATACACAAAACTAATCACACAGAAATAAACTAGCTTTTTTACTTATTTTTTAGCATATACATCTGACAGGAAGTTGAATCAAAAAAGCTGTTCTATACTTGACTTACTGCCAATAATTTCAGCTTTTAGAACATCAGACCCACTCTCTAAAAATAAACATTGAACACAACCAAGATATGAATGTTATCTGACTAGCTGCTAGTATCAGTTATAAGATTCAAATCCAAATTTTTGGAAACTCTTTTTATTTAAATTTTTTGGGTTATTTGTCCAATGAATTAAAAATAAGTTTAAAAAAATATATAATCATGAGTGATTATCACCCAGTAGAGTTTAAATATTTCATTAACTCTCTCTAAATAAGCTCGAGCAAACTGACTGACCACGTGACCACTTTGTACTTGTTTAAAGTCTTTATAGTTTTGATACTATTACTTTTAATATAGTATGTGTATCCTCACAAAATTTGGAACATTTTCAGTAAACATTACAAGTCTTTCACATAAAAAAATAAGATTTTTTAATGAAGTTCTGTCTGTGAATATATCAAGTCTTTTTTTTACTAGTCCGAGTGCAAAGTGATTTTCATGTTGAGATTAAAAATACTTCTATTCATTTCAAAAATCTCAAATTCATTTTCGTAATCTCTAAAACCTCCTAAATACATTTCAAATGTTTGTTTTTAGTAAAACATTATATTTTATCTGTTATTTTCTCTATCCTAACTCTATACAAGTTTGGTTAATTTGACCTACCTTGTAACCACCAAAAAAAAGAAAGAAAAAAATCAAAATAAATCTAAGTTACATTTATTTTATTTCTAGAATGACTTCAAATTGTAACACTGTTTTGTTGGTTTGTTTTTTGAAGTTAAGCACAAAGCTACACAATGGGCTATCTAAGCTCTGCCCATCACGAGTATCGAAACCAGGTTTCTAGCGTTGTAAGTCCGCAGACACACTGCTGTGCCACTGGGGGGCCAAATTGTAACATGAATCTACATTCATTTATCCTAAGTAACTTTAGACTTGTAACAGTATACATCTATTTATACTTAAATTTTATTGTTTTATTGCCCTTTGAACCATGTCTAACTACTTTCTGCATTATAAATTGCAAGTCACTTGGAGATCGTGGAACTCATGTTACATTATTGAATTACATTACAAGCGATCTGCTCATGAGCTGCTAGCGTGTGTGCCTTGTGAAACATTTTTATTATATTATTATTTATTTTACCTAATCTAACTTTAACTAACCTAAAAATATTTCTATTTTTACATTTTAGTTACTTTTATAATAATAAATAAAAATACACATGAAAAACAAGAAATAAAGTACTTACCTGGACATTCGTTTTTTTGCTGTTGACTGTCGATGAAACTTAACCCTACATTTTGATACTAATGGCAGTAGTGCATTAAATAATATTCATTTAATTAAATAATACACCAAAGAACATAGAATAATAACATGCAAAAAGCAGACAATGGCTCATAACCATCACAATTTTTCTGACTTTCTAACTATGCGGCAATAGCCGTTACAAATTCATCCAAGCTAGTCTATATGTTTCCCATGGGAACGAAGCTTGTACTAGAAGAAAAATTGACAATTCTCTGTTCAGAAAATAATGTAATATAATACATCATTTGATAGATAAAAACTTTGGCATTGTATTGGTTATAAACATAAGAGAACTATTAACAAATCCTGAAAAGAGGATGTGATAATTGGGTGTGGCAAGAGGGATATGATTTTCTATTTGATGGCTCTGTGACCAAATAAAATTGAAGGCTATAAAAATTAGGCTTTGTCTGAGCAATGATAATTTTGTAGTGAGTAATTTATGTTAAATTTCGTACTTATTGGAGGGGTAGTGAATAAGTTAGAAAGGAGGGATGTCTAAAGAAAAAAAGTCACATTTCTCACACTAAGGGAAATTCAAGTTTTTTTTTTAAATATTGCCTTATAAAATTAAGAACTTAAAACTTATATACTATTAAAATATAGATAATTAGTTACAAACTTATGCCATAGTAATTGATATAACATATACAAAAAGTAGCTTAAATAAATTTTGAATGTAAGTCACTAAATACCTTGTGACATTTGTAGTAAAGGATGCCCATGCAGATAGGGTTAAAACCAACTAAACTGAAAAATCTTTATTCAAGTGCTTTTATTTTAGTTCACAAACATTCACCTGTTTATTTTTTATTGTACAGGATGTACAAGATTGTCACTGCATGCAAGACTATAAAATATTATTGAACAAATCACAGTAAATGGAACAAACTATTAGACGTGAAATTAGAAAAACCAGTTTCGACATGTTGTGCATCCTCTTCAGACAATGAAGGCAGAAAAGGACACACAAATGTGTCAAAATTACTTGAAATTAGAGAAACCAGTTTCGACACGTTGTGCATTCTCTTCAGACAATGAAGGCAGAAAAGGACACACAAATGTGTCAAAATTACTTGAAATTAGAGAAACTAGTTTCGACACGTTGTGCATTCTCTTCAGACAATGAAGGCAGAAAAAGACACACAAATGTGTCACAATTAGTTTTTCTAATTTCAAGTCTTCTTATAGCTTGCTCCAATTACTGTGTTTTTTTTTAAAAACTGCTGCACATGATATTGTGTTCTTTTATTACTATAAAATAGCTTTATCAAAAGGTAAGATACTGTTGTAAAAAGTTAATATGAAAAAAATATTTGACAAAACTTAAGATATCCAACACAAGAAGTATTAAACTCTGAAATGGTGCAGTTTAAGTGGAGCGAAAATCACAGCTCAACTGCCATAATTAACGTGAGACTAGCTTAACGACCCAAAGTTGATGTAAAAACATTTCACTGGTTAGAACTTTAAAATATATGTACAACTTGGAATTCACACCTTCTTGGGGAGAAAGCTCAGAAAGATTTGGTAACCCTTTTGTTCCTGCTAGCTGAGTGATTAGTTTCGGCAGATTGGCTAGCGTGACTTGGGACGGTGAAAGCAGCTGAGGTTGGGAAGGGGGTTGCATTCCTTGGGGTGTGTTTGGGGGCACTGCTTGTGAGCCAGTAAGATGCTGGTTACTTGAAGACACAACAGGAATCTGGCTTCTATTGTAAAATCTATAATCATGATAACCACTAGTTGGTGTTCTGCTACTGTCAGGTGAGAGGTCAGTGTCCTGTGATTGTCCATCAGCTAAGGAAACAAATTGAATTATTAAAAATATTATTAACATTTAACAAATGAATTCAAAAGTATAATAAATTAGTGAAATCATGATATATTAAAAAAACATTGAAGCTAAAAGCCCACCAGTTCATTAAGAGATCTAAAACTTCTGGAAAAAAAAACAATTATACGGCACTAAAATTTACGTTAACAAGTGTATTAATTAACTGTTAATTGATTACTTCTCTTTTAAAACAATGAATTACTAATCTAAAATTATTTTCCATCAAAAACTGCCAGGGACATGTCTAAAGCACATGATATAAAATCCTTACATGTTGGTATGAATCATAAATGGCCAAAAACATGAAAAAATATGGCAATATACCAAAAGAAATTATGAAAAATAAAGTTATCAAATTAAGTTTAACAATGAAAAAAATTTCATAATTTGGCCAAAGAAAGCAATATAATGTAATATAATTGTAGGAATAATTTTTCAAGTTTTAAAGTGGAAATATCCGAGATAGAATTTGAGCCTCATCAGTCAACTGAAGTGGTTCAAAAAGTCAAGGTTTCAATTTTTTTTAGAATGTTATAAATTCAAAATGTATTATTATTAGCATTCAAAAACTCTTAAGATGCTTTTCTTAGGCATCTTTAATACTTTAACCTGCTCTAGTCCAGCAGCATAGTTGAAAAATTGTGCTCTTTTTTGATACTAGTGACACACTTTGCAGGGCAATAAGTATGTTAATATTGATTAATATCTGATATAGTGCCATTTGCCAGTTAATGTTGATATGCTGTGTAAAGCATACTTTATAAAATTCCCACATGTAACAATGTATTTGCTACACAATTCTATTTTATGCCTAAACTAACAAAACTCACATTTTAAACAAGAATTTCCATATATTATGTATACTTCATAAAAGTTCTACTATTTACATGTAGAAAATACAAAGTAAAGTACAACTTTGTTGCCAAAAGGAATGGATCTATTAACCACTGAACAATATCATTTGATAACAAATTAGAACCGTATTCATGTCAATATTAACAGGTAATCACTTATTAAAGATAGTTACACATTCATGAAATATTATGTCCTTCCCTCCTAAGTCTGTATTTCTACCAGACTTTTGGAAGCCCTTTTTATGCTTAATCAAATAAGTCATGTACATTCTTTTTTATTATAATTTAGATGAGATGGTATATTAAGTTTTTCACTACAGATGACTAACACCCTGAAATTATAAAAGTTGGGGGAGGAATAGAATATCATATATTCGTGCATTAACAGTCACCTATTAATGCTTCACAGGTAAACCACAGTTTAAAGTAAAATTAGTGGAAATTTTAGTGGAGAAATGGCCAAGGATTGGGGCATGGAAATGGAAAAATATCCTGAAGAGTGTGACTTAGAAAGACACTATTTCCTCTGGGCCCTCAGAAGCACATTCTATCAACTGTTTCCAGTGTCTTTTCTGTCAGAAAGTCAAGAAAAATCCTGCAGAATCAAGAAAAAAAAAGGACTACAGTGGAGCTTACAGAACAATAGCTGAGGGCTTACAAAGCTTTGATGAGGTTGGTGAGCTGCCAGTAACTGTAAAATTAACCCAGTTTATGAAGGATGTCAATTTCCAGAAACTATTTTGAAAAATTGTGCCCTGTGACACAAGTCCTGTAAAGACTGACATAATAAAATAAAGTTAATTTGAGTGAAAAAAAAAAATTAGATACTGACCCAGGAAAAAAAAAAAAAGGGTCCATAGAAATCCTCAATACATATTCCAGAAAAAGATCTCACAGAAACAACTTGCTTTTATTTTGTGATCAGGTTGCATCTTTTGAAAATCTAACTCAAGCATGAACCTTTGATTTTGACCCATTCAGCATGTGGCTCTTCAGTTGGAAGATACAAAACTTCAAGGTAAGCTTAGTGCAGGAGACTTGATAACAACTGAAACCAAATGCTACAAAAGATGCTTAACTGCACTCTTATAATCATGCTAGGGACAAGACCAACAAATAGTCACCACAAAGCAGGACAGAGAAACAATTACTCACTCCACTGTTCTAGCTGAACTGATTTCCTATGTCAAGGATGCACTAATAAATAAGTCAAGTACACCCACCTTCAAACTGACACTTGGCATGAATCAATTTGCACAAGATTTAAACAGCTGGGTGTAAAGCCAAAACAAAGATTCCATACGACCAGTCTTTTAGCTATTATCCATGGTCTCAGAGCAAACAGTAAAGAGAGGTACTTATTACTTGATGATGACATAAGTTCTGCATGATGCTCTCCAAAAGAACAATGATGCTGATGCAATGTGTTTGGGCAAAGTCAGCACAGATTATACGAAGAGAACTATCTGAAGAAATGAGAAATTTCTATAGAATAATTCCATCAGACTGCCAAGAAAAGTCTGTTCCATCATCACTCCTTGCACATGTCAACATGGTTCTTTAAGGACCAAACAGTAAAGATCAAGAAGTTAACCCAACCAATTCAGCAGCATTGTCCATTGTATAACTTCTTATGTTCAATAATGTGAAACACAAGTGGCAATAAGCAAGTTCAACAAAGCATACCAAAAGTTAGGACAGTCTGCTTACAGGAAAGATATTGATTGGGAAGAGGAAGGAATGATGAGTGAACAGGACTCTAGAGAAAACACAACCAATATATTCATCCTTATACCATGCACACGAGGAGGGAAAAAATTAAGCCCAGGAGTGTCAGTAAACTTCTACACTGTTAGAGTACTCTAACAGTGGTAACTATTAAATATGTTAGCCTGCTCTGATTGACAGCCTGTTTCCATAGCAACAGATATTTTTCAGTTTGGCACTATATCAGAAAATGATTATCATAAGACCGTCTTCAAATGTGCCAAGTCTCACGTTGATAGCAAAATGTGCATAATTCTTGGAAAACATTAAGCTATGCCACTGGACTACTCTGATCAGTTGGAACACACAAAAATAATGATTCTATGAAAAACTTGCACCACACAGTACTTACAGTCAACATAATGTAGAGAAAGCCCATTGGATGATCTTTCCTAAGATTCTAATAGTACTTTAGCTATTACTATACCAACTGTTACTTATGAAAAGTGATATCTCTACAATGAGGATTCATATGGAACACTATATATACATAACAAACACGAGATAAAGCATGCAGCTTCTCCAATAAGCAAATAAACTTAATAATCTTTAATTTCTATTAAAAAATGAAATCCTACAATCCCTTCTTATAAAACAATTAATCTGAATTTGTTCTGCATGCAAGTGCTTTGCAATCATGCTGCTTATGCCAGGCATTGTTTTAGGTATCAAGGTTTCACATACGTACTTTCAAAAGAACATTACATAAATAAATAGACCTGAGAAACTTAATAAGAAAAAAGAAATCAAACACATATACATTATTGGAAATAATCACGGAAATGCAAAGGTGATAAACACCCAGAAGTTTCAAAAAATGGGCAGTTACAAATAAATGACAAATTAAAAATTAGTACATTATTACAGAAAATATAAAATCCATGCAAATAAACTGTATTATGTATTGGTATTTTGTAAAGCAGAGCAGTACACCTTGCTTTATGCTACCACAAGTTTTTCAACATATGACTGTAATATAATGCTCCGAATTTCCTGTATTACTACCCACAACTCAGCTAAGTTTGGTTGCTGCTTGACTTTCTGAATTTCCATACAAGCCCATACATCCTTAATAATATTCATATTAGGACTTGGCAGGCAAAGCCATGGTTGTGATTGTTCCATTAGTCTCCTTTGCTTTCCAGATACCACTTCACCATATTTACTGTATGCTTGGGATAAATGACTTGCTGGAAGATGAATACCTGAGGGAACAAAATGATGGATAAGAATGTGCTTCATTACAGGTGCAAGTTGATTGTGATATCATCTTCCTCTCCTCTCTGCCGTCAAACAAACTATTGTGAATTGTTGTTACACCATTTGAATTTCAATTCATCTGTAAAGAGCACTCTATTTCAGCTTTGTTAATCCCTTTGTTTGAACTGATGCTCAACTCAGCCTTTTGGTCTGGATATCACTCCTAAGCAGTGGTTTTTGAGTAAGCTACACATTCTCCGAGTCTACTTCGTGCTAATTTGTAACTTAATTTTCTTGATTTAACATTCACACCTGTATTTATAACTAGGTTATTGGTAAGATCTTATACTGGAATGTTGTTTATCATACAAAAATCATACATTTCAAAGGTACCTTCATCCATCTTCATCATACTTAATCTTGTACACAACTAAGAATTCTTACTATAATTTTAGAAACTTTGATCAATAATTTACCAAAGAAGACACAACAGTAGCTTACAGTTTCTAATAAACAAACTAATAACCAACATATTCTTTTTGTTCAATGCTTGACACTACGTGCGTGTGAAGTTCTTTGTGAAGTTAATGTTTACCAGAATTTTGAAACTATTAAATGCATCTAAATGAAATTAGTAAATATTACAGTTCTGCTGTAAACAAAAAAATCAGAATTTTTAATAGTGTTTCTACAAAAGATTTTTTTGTGAATTTCCAAAGCCTTTACTCAATCAGTCAGTCAGTCTGAGGTGATTTTCAGAGAAATAAAAATATTCTTCAAATTAAAATTTTTGTATTTCATATACATAACCTTTAGGACCTCCTAAATGAACATCAAAATTTTCTTTTAGGAAAACTGTATACTTTATCTCGTGTAGTGAAATCATCAATGTACAGCAGAATTAGAAGTTAAAAAATACAATCTATAAAACCCTTTTTAATTCTAGAATGACTGCATATTGTAGCAGACAATTACAATTATTTATTCTAACAGACTCGGCTTTGAATCATTTCACACCTTTTAATTACATTGTTTTAATACAGGACATGCTTTGGTAAGACTGTTTTTTTAATAAGTTGGTTGTTTACAAAATAATTGATTTTGCTTTCAGACACAAACAATATATCAAGCACTAGAATAGAATGTCCCAAAAGTACTAAAATTTAAGTAACTTTCTAACAGCTATAAATAGGTGGAAACAAATGCATTAGCTACTTGTAATTGAACAACTAAGATCGTATACAATGTCAAACTGGTCTATTCCAGCAACTATAATAAATTAGTGGTATAAGGAATCTTGTAAAGAAAAATATTCTCTTTCCATTGCTAATAAAAATGTCCAATAGCAATGTCAGAGAAAATTATAGACATGTCTTGAAAGACACAGAGATGTGGGTTTGATAAATATAATGATATCTCAGTAAAACAAGAAGATGGGAGGTTCAAATTTCATATTCTAGCCGTAAGTATTTATAGTTTGTGTTTCTAACTAGTTGAACACTCTGAAACCCATATAAGGGTAGAATGAAAATATAAAATGGATAATTCAAGTGTAGACACAAGAAATTATTTTAATATTTCCTTTTGAAATTAAGAAATAAAAACTTAGGTAATATATAAATGTGAATTATAAACTATGTTTTGTTACCAAGTTATTGATATGCACTGATGATAAAGTTGTTTAATTAAAATTTGAATGCAACTCTGTGAAAGGTTGTTGCATGTACACTTTGACCTAGCCACTCACATGGAGTTGAAAGATTTGTCCCCACGAAACTATAGATGTTAGTCACATTATAGTCACAAGCACAATTGACACTAAATTCAGAATGGAGTAACTTCTCAAGAAAAAAAAGGATATTTAAATTATAAATAAAACCACCTACATTTCTGATACCAAGTGCCCTTTGTTACCTTTTTCTATGGACTATTGTATTTTTCCTCTTTATGACAAAAACAAATTTAGTCTTCAAGTAATCTGTTTACTATATGATAATACATATCAATTACTTTTATTTATTTTTCAACATAAACTAGCTGCCCTATTATTTTACACACGGTATTAATATCTGTACTTTAAGTCCAACTTATAATCTGCTTGAGCAACATAAAGAAAACTGTAGTATGAAATCCTAAGAAAACAAACATACTGTGACTTGTGTCCCATAATAGATTACTTTCAACTGAAGATTTTGAGGATCTTAATTGCTGTGACATGTAGGTCTATAGGTCTAACTACATGTCTAACATGTAGGTCTAACTATAGTTAGAAATTAAGTTCGAACTGTTGTGCAAGATGCAAAAATAATTTCTAAAAACTTGTTAAAATCAGTGGTATAGAACTGACTATAGAAAGGCTTAAGAATGTCAATTAAAGTAGTTTTAAGTAAAGGAACTTAGACCACTGGAAAGTTACTGGAGGAAATGGAATGGATAGAAGCTAACACAGTTAGTTATATTATCCAAAGAGTAATTACAAATTTGTCAGAAAAATAAAAATATACTGACTTAAACAAGGAAAAGCAGATTGAAGCCATGACTATGATCATGTAAGTAGTTGAGTATATTCCAAGTGTGGATCCAGTGGTTGTTTTGTGCATTTTACTTAACACAAACCATGGGAAGTTCAATGGAATTCAACTAACATCATTATACCTTTAACGTAGTGGAAAAGACTCTATAGGAAGAGAATCAGTGGTTATCTAATGCTACTATGTAAGTGTTAATCTTTCTGCTCCCCACAGCTATTTCCAAACACAACTGATAGGCATTCAATAATGCAGAAAGAAAAATAAAACAACTAGTTGAACTTATTAATGTGTAATATAATTTACACATCTCCAAGATAAGGAGCATAACAATGGCAACAATTGGGATTCAGAATAAAGAGTGAAGTTTTCCAGCAATGACTGCAAGCACTAACATGATCAGAACCCACAAAAAATCAAATGAAATTGAGAAGATTAGGAATTAAAGGAGAGAAAAATTAATGAACACAGCAAATCAAGAGCTAGACAGAATAGTGACTCAGTGATACGTGGATAGTGACTTTTAACAGTTTGAATTATTTATTTTTGTTACAATTGTTCACAGGTAATAATAAAAATATAAAACAGCAATGTGTAAAAAAGAAGCCTTATGACATTTACGTTTATGCCAAGCCATTTTACATAAAATTAAACAAAAAAGTTACTGGTGCTGAACAGGTATCTGAAATTAACATTACTTATTACAAGAAATATTTATGGTTCTTGATCTCTTAAATACTCAATGATAAATTCAAATTTGAAAAGACAAGTTGCAGAAAATTTAAATTTGTTAACATTTTTTTTTTTTTGCAAAATAGTTTTACAGAATATCTCTATCTTATCATAAAATAATTACCTTCAGTAGTTTTCCGACCATCTGTTTTTCGAACACTCTCTCTCCTGTCATGACCTGGTGTTCGGTCTCCACCACGTGACTGAGATGGTTCGTCTCTTTGTGAGCTTCGACTGGTGTTATGTTCAGTACTGAAACTGCTTGATGAAGAGCTGCTGGGTTTGACTGGTGAGGGAGCAGTAGAAGATGGGTGGTCATGTGACCTAGAAACTTGATAATTACGTGCACTTCTTTCTCCACTGCTGCTACCACTGTTGGAATGTCTGTCAGTGGCTAATAGGCAAGACATACATATATATAAATATATATATATATATATATACACACACACACACACACATGAATTTAGTTACATTTATTATTACATCAGTAAAACATTATATAGCTGGTCTTTCTTTTAACTTCAGAAAACTGCATTTTACATGTTTTTCTCTTCCAGATAATGAATAATAAAAACATTGTAATTCTATAAAGACAAGAAAAAGATTGACTGTATACTGAAATTTTAGTCAGTTTCAACATGCTTACTTAATAAAACTGGACTTATAAGCTTGTTAACTAAAGATCACTGCCTTATACTTTATTATGTTTATGGAATGTTTCAGAAAAAGAGAATCAACTTATAAATTTATCAGTGTCAAAATCTGTCGAGTCACAGGAGCTAAACCTAAAATATAGAAATTCTAGCTTTTGAAACTACAACAGTGTTTTTTCTAACAGAATAATTCCAGATTATTGCTGTTCAATTCCAGAAACTGACTGTAAAATAAATAGTATAATTTGAAATGTATTAAAGAACAAGTTAAATAATACAAACTTCATTTGAGTTAAAATTCCTTTGTTTACTAAACAAATCTGAGCAGATGAATGTAACATTGTGAATCTGATCATAGGTGTTAAGAGGCTGCATGAAATATATTCATTATAGGTAGGCTACTGATTCTGGTACACATTACCATCAGCACTCAAAATTATTCAGAAACACACTATAGTTACGGGTTGCTGCTGTAAGCTGTATACTTAATGGAATATAAAACATTTAATACTTTAAGTACAAAGTATGGTTCAACTTGACCCACCATGGAAGTGTCAAATATTAATTTACTACGTGCATCTTCATGAAATTTGGCAAGCTTTAAGAAAATATTGCAGATCTGTTTTATATAAAATAAAACAGATTTTTTCAATAAAATATTTCTACTAAAGATTTATCTGTGAATTTACAAAGGTGATTTCCTTGCTAAGAGTAAAAATACTTCTTTTAATCTAATGGTTTTTATATTTCATTTGCATAACCTCTAGGACCTTCTAAATGACTTATCAATTTTTTATCCACTAAAACTTTATATTTTATCTCTCATTTTCTCTAAAAAAAAATTGTCAATGTAAATGAAATGCACAGTTGAAAACTTTGAAATAAAATTAACAGTATCTTTTATGTTCTTTCAATATATCGTTTTGCAAGATTTTCAAGTTTCTTATATTTACAATTTCAACTTTGATCCTCTTAACTTCCATTTTCTTTTAATTTTATGGTTTATTATCTGTACTATGAACTACCATCCTCCATCTAAAGCAACAAATCACAGTGAGAATCCATAAGCCACCTGTCATAAACACCACGAGTAAAGAGCATGGCTGCATGACTTGCATGATTTTTGCACTAACCAGTAGGCCTCACTTGTTTCACTCAGGTTGTTGTTCAAGTAAAAATTCAAATATGTATTTCAGAATACTAGAACAGAATGTCCCAAAACTATGATAATTTAACTAGCTTTCTAACTAAACTATAAATAGGTTAAAAAACTTCTGTAAGTACTCAGAGCAAAGAACCATGATCACCAAGACTAAATATTTCTGTTAATTAATGATTTGCACAGAAAATCTAAACAATGCCTTTTTTCTATTGGTTATAAATACGTCCATCAGCTTTGTAAGGACTACTATCACAGAATATACAAAGAAGCTGTATGAAACAAAACGTGTGTAGGGTATTATAATAAATGAAATATATTTTACATGCTATCTGAAAACAAAGAAATCCAAATGAGGTAGGAAGTTCAAATTTTAAAGTTGTGCTTGTAATTAGCTGTAGTTCAGGTTTCTAGGGAAAATATAATATATATATATTAGGGAAAATATAATATGTGTAAGGGAAAATTCAGAGGAGATATGACATGTAACACATAGTGATTAACATTGAGAATTTGTTTAAATATTTCCTTTTGAACTTATGAAATTAAAACTTACATAGTACAAAAATCTGAATTAAAAACTATGTTTTGATGCCAAGTTTAATGACATCTTTGATAATAAAATTGTTTAATTAAGTTTTGAATGAAACTCTACAGAAAATGAAAGTGACAAAGAAATCACTTTTTATGGCCTGGTCTTAGGTCCTAATTTATAGCTAAAACAGTTGAAAATACATTAAAATATTTAATATAAAAGAAGTACATTTTATTCATTTTACATAAGAACTTTTGAAAATTATTTTGAAAGCCTAATTTGCCATAATTAACCTAAATACGAGTAATTACAAACAAAAACATTAACTTGATTCTAACTCTAAATATTAATAACACAAGTATCTGTATTTAAAACTGAGTGAAAAATATATCTAAGCTCAAGCAAAGAGGAGAGAAAGTAAACATGCATGTGTTTACAAGCTTAAGCCATGAGGAGCAGAAATGAAGCCTATTTAAATGACTTGTAGTTCCTATACATTTATCTATATGTAAAGATTATTTTCATTCAACATGTATCATTAGAAGAAGTTTAATTTAGCAATGTAGTGATACCCAAAACTTGTAAGCCTGATTCCCTTCATTACATAGAAAATACAGTTTATTTAATGCTCCTAAAAGTACACACTAAAAGACCTGTGACAGCAATAAATCAAAAGTCCCAGCTAAGAAGTATAACAACTTTCTCATCTGGAAACTTTTTATTTTGCTTCAATATTAAAACATGAAACTTGATGTTACAAGGATGCTTCTCTATTTGACAAAATTCTTGCTGTGAATTTCATTTAAAATCTTTCTTTAGAAAGCAATTTATGTCATAAGACTGAAACAAAAAGAGTGTATGCTACTAAAAGCTGTAAGAATAAACACAACAATTTTTTTTTACATGCTATCTCAAAATAAAGAAATCCAAATATAATTGCTCTTAATCCTACATGCATGGGGTTAGTCCAATGAACTGATCCTGTATTGAAGAATTATTGTTTACTTTAACTCCAAATTTACTATATTTTGTAAGCTTTCAGTAAGCATGAAGTATTTTGTACACAGAAAATCAGATTTTTTAATAAAATACTTTTACAAAAAAGTTGTCAGTGAATGTATGAAATCAGTCTGACTCAGACTCTGATTAGTCTGAGTGTAAGGTGATTTTAAGGTTAAGAATAAAAATACTTTTCTTCATCATATAGTTTACGTTTCATTTATAGAACCTCACAAGTTATTTTTTTTTTCAATAAATCTTTATGCTTTATCTCTTATAATCTCTACCCTAACACTAATTGTTGCAAAATCATCTGTAGCAATAGTTACAGAGTACGAAATAAAATCAAAAGTACATTTTTCTAGAGTGACTGTAGATTGTAGCAATGACAATCATTTATCCTTTGTTCTTCTGATGAAGAATAGTCAACTATTCGAAAGCGCTCAAGTTTAGGGTCTTATTTTAAGTCTATTACACTTTATATGTGATCATTTGTGCTAACTCTTTTATCAAAAAAAAATATATTTATCCTAATAGCCTTAGGCCTCTATCCTTTCCACAAATGCTTTCA